TAGCCTCTGTGGGTTTTTGATGCTGGCTGTGCTTACAAAAATGCTGCCGATAATCAGTTAATGTTGGACAAGATGCTATGGAGATGGACATGTTTGTGTACTGAGTACATCACTTTACCTCACTTCTGTGTATGCATGATTTTGCACCCCCGCCCCCCCCCAAAATACATGCACATACATGTACCTGTAGATACACATTGTGCAATCTTCCCCTTTCCACCTCCCCAATATGTGGGAATAAGTTCAAGGGAAGGTAACATTTTTAGAGTTGGAAGTAGAACCCTTTGGCATATTAAGCCATATCAGCTTCCTTTCTGTTACAGTGTGATTACTACTTGTAAAAGTCCAACTCATGCACGTGTATGCACGTGCAGCATTGCCATATTGGGGAAAAAAGCAGCAATTGATGACATCCGGGGAAATTTCTTATCGGGTTCTGGCAAGTTTCGTTAAAGAGATCATTCCTGGCCATATTCCTCTCAAGTGAGGGTTAAGTGAGGCCGAATGTAACCCCCTCGCCTGATGAAAAAGATACTTGTACGTCATATAACCTCAAACTCGAAGGGATGTGGCTTTAAGTAGCATGTAGTCTGCCTGTAGCAGCATCTATTGGGAAGTGCCATAATCAGCTGTGCACATAATTGTGTTTCGGTTAGTGGATTTATCACTGGAATTTACTGTTGAGTTGAGCGACTAGTGAAATTTGAGCTACATGTATGGTTAATGGCACCATGGTATCCATTCAGTAAATGCTAACTGATTTCTAACTTTCTTTTCCAATTCCAGTATTTTCCTCTAAAGTCAACTTGTCAATTTTTTTTGGGGGGGGTCATTGGCTGTGAAGAGGGTTAGAAGTGTAGCTGGCAGGGATCTAAAGTTACTTAACAATGGCTTATGGAAACAGAAGGCAGCTGGAAAGGGAGAGGTGTTTCAGGGTTGACCGGTGGGAGTTTACATGGGTGCAGTGTCTGTCCCATTCTTACCACTGAATGATTAATGTGGGATGGCACCTCAGAATAATGGGGAAGGTGGTCCGCTGGCAGATTTTTTTTTTTTTTTGGTTCTCTCTGGGAACACCTACCAGTACCTATAACTCTGCCTCAGGACCTTGGTTTGTGCAGCCTAATTTCCACGGGTCATTCAGAGGGTTTCTGAATTGAAAATGACAAGAAGTCGAAAGAAGGAAAGAAAGAAAGAAAAAGTTGAATGGCCCTTGGGGTCTTGGCTCGTCAGGCTGCTGACGCAAATCCATGTTTATTGTGTTTACTGTTTAAGTGTACCCTAATTTTTTATTACAACTTCAATTTTTTTCTTTGAAAAAAATCACTAATGTTTGTTTGTTGTCCCGAATTCCTTCTCATGACAGAAAACAAAAGTGTTTTGAATCTCAATGTCAGCATTGCCACATCATCTGAAGATAACGCGAGAGACGTCTACATGTACATGTGTGTGCAGTCAGTTGGTATTAATATTGCACTGCTTGAACAGTGTAATTTGTTCAGAGAAGACGAACCAATACTGAAAAAAGGATTTGTTCCTGGCTGATTCTTCTGTTTATAATTGCTTGGCACTCTCAAAGAGGCTATGATAAAAAACCTTCACATTGTGCCAACAAGTTATTTCCGTCACCTTCTTACATGGATTCTCTCACTTTTGAGACCAGTTGGAATAAAAGTGATTCTGTTGTGACTGTTGACTCAATGTTCATGTACTTTGGTTCAGGGAGAGAGAGAGACAGAGCTGCCTGGTTGAAAGTACAGTGTACATGTATATGATACTACTGAAATGCCTACAACCCAGCATTAAGTGGTCTTATATCCACCTTTGATCTCTCACCCGAGGGAGTTGACATTCACAAGGGAGTGTTACTTTAAGGAGACCCAAAGATCACTGCTTACTCCCCTGTTCTCACCCCCCTCTTTGACTGTCTCCATGCTCTTCTGTCTCTCCTTGGCCATTGTTGAGCGCAAATCACACAAGGGAGTCATTGCGTTGTGCCCTGTTGCTCATCCGTTGTTGGCCTCGGTGCCTGCTGTCCTGTTTTAAACGGAAGAGAAAAAGACGTCAGCACCGGCCCCCTTCAATGGGCCATTTCCACTTGCGCTAATCCGCTCTTTTTGTCCAGGGAAGGGGGAATCTTGTCCTGAAAAGGCTTGTAGTCCTTGGGGTGACTTGGGCCACTAGGTTTTTGTTTCTTTTCTCTTTTTTTCTTGCAAAGCCCAATCCAAGGACGGCGGTTGGAGGATTGTTTTGTGCATGCAGTTGAAGCATCTCCATTGAGATGTTTCGGAAGAGGCAATTGTTGCGGCGGCCCGGAGAGGTGCCTGCCACAAGCGTGTTGAATTAGCGGGAGGCTTGCCTGCAGCATCGGTTACATGTACACAGGCAGGCATCTTACTGGAAAGCAGAGCAGTGATTTCATTAGTGTTTGTCTTTCCCTGGCAAAAGGCTAGTCAGTGGAATGATGGTAGAAGCCTCGAATGGAGAGCAAAAGAGGGAAATATGTATACACAGCGTAATCCATGTTTCAAATAGCACTTTTTCCTGAGGCAGCTTGGAGGCTTTCAGATGCATCGGAAGCTCAAGGGAGTCCTCAGATCGAGCAGTGTGGATTTCTTCCCGAGACCTTATAAAAAATTGTTCAGACAAGTATCTAAGAGGTCAAATTTACTTGCGCTGGGTACAGTGTACATGTACTGTATGTGCCTTACTGATATTTTTCTTTGAGACTGCCTGAACCCAGTTCACTGTCATTTCCTTGTTTGACATGGCCCAAAGAATAAGGGGACAAAAATAGTCTACGTCTTTATTCATCAAGTACGTGCATTTGTTCAAGGACAAGATATTTCCATGACAAACCGAGGTGTACCCTACATGTACGGTAATGTTGAAAATGACATGATGGCTTTATGGCTGTTGGGAAAATATTGGATCAGTCTGCTGGCCTTAAAAAAAAAATCAGTTGTCTACATTTTTGTTAATCAAGTTCATGCATTATGTTTGAGGATAGCGGATCTCCAGAAATTACAGGTGAAGCCATGGTACCCGTACATGCAATGCTGAAAGAGACACAATGGCTTCATGGCTGATGGAAAAAAAAAATTAGATCAGTCTGCTGGCCTGAGGCCTCAATTTGCATCAGGATGTTGACGTTCTCCTTGACCGGAAGACAAGTTTAGGCCTTATCGGTGCCCAGCTTCCTGAAGATGAAGCCAATATACTTGCAGATCCCTCTCCCCTTCTCAAGAAGCCTCCAAGTAATGCCACTGCCACCAGTCACGTTGACAGGGGATAAGACAAGGGTGTCCTGTAATTAGGTAATGGACGAATGGGCCATGGCACATTTACATGTACCTGTATAGTTGATAGCTTGTGTTTGACTTTTTTCCCCAGCTGTGTCCATCCCTCTATTTTATGCAAATAATAAAACTTGCAGATATGTAAATGATTTCTGTGGCATTTTATTTTTTCCAAGTTTGTGTTTTGTAAATTTAAAATTACCTTTACTTCTGTGTTGATAGTTAAAGGAATGGAACTGATGGTGTTCTCCAGAGATAAAACTCATTCCTCAGTTTCCATACTGGCAACCTATAAACTAGATGAACAAGTCAAGAGCATGATTAAATGTTCTGGTAAACATCTCCATGATTTGAAAATTCTAGAACATGTTCATACTGTTAACTGCAGTTGCCAGTATTTGGCTAGAATCAAGCTGAGAATAAGCACAACAGGATCAGGAAAAAACTGATGAATTGTTCTTTTAATAATTCAAAAAAGAATTAAAGAATAATTTCTTTAATGGTAGGTGCTTGAAAAACAAATGTTCCTCATACATGACAGCCTTTTTATGGCACCAGTACTTGTGCAGTGTACATGTAATTTGGCCCCCTTTTTTCACCCTTTTTGGTCCCAGTCAAGGCCGTCCATGGACTACTAAATTCACAAGTTCAACCCAATACATAGCTGCCTGGGTTTGAAAGTTCATATTTTTTTCCCTTTTCGGAGCTCAGTGTTGCAGAAATAAGCTCTTTTTAGCCGTAAAACCCACAGCCTTTATGCGGTCCAGGTTAACTTTTTTTTGGATTACATTCCCCAAGGTAGCGCAGACAGTACTTTAACCCGATCAGTGAACGCCTTTTTGTTGTATTTTATTTTGAGGGCTGACAGGCAGAATATGGCATGTCTGCATTATTTATGGCAGGTATTTACTGGGTGTAGTTCATTGACAAGCAGGTTGGGCAGTGGATACAGTATCAGCTGTGTTGAACTGGAGTTCCTCTGAAGTACACTTAGTTTGACCCAGATTACATGCATTACAGTGATGTGCCATAGCCTGCCTGTGCTGTTAGAAAAAAAAGACACCCTTTTCTCAGAAGTAGAGAATTCAGTGTTTTACACTGCAGTGAGAGGGTCGAGCAGTGTCTTGTAGGTTCTGGTTTTGGAGCCTAGAAGGGGACAGATGCATGTTATTAACAGGAGGTTCATGACCCTCAAAATGTCCAGATAAAATTACAGGAAGTTCCTTGCTAAAAGTGTAAAAATGTATGCAGATCACAACCCAAAACAGCACACTATCTTACATGTGTTTTTGTACTCAAAACTGCCACCCATGTGCACTCTACTTTTTGAAATAATATCTAAAAATCTCTGTCAGCTGGATTTGTCTCTGGTGGTTCTGTGATTGAAAGATTTACCATGCAGTGTCTGCTTGTTGTAGTCCTACATGTATTGTACATGTACCGCTACATTGCCATTTCTGGTTGAGAATTCTCACTTGTTTTAGTTCATCCATTGCAAAATCTGAATGACTTTTTTGGAAAGGTTTCTCAGTCCTTGAAGGGTTTGTGGTATTTACATGTAGTAAGAAGTACTGGTACATTTCAGAGGCTGTTGGCCTTGTAATCTTTAAAGTACAAATTGTGCTTGACAATGTAGTTAAACTGGTTAAGTTGCTCATCTCTTTAGAACTAATTTTCTGTGTTTCCTGTCTTTTCTTTTAGAAATGGCAGCGCCGATGCTTTATCTTGTATGAGAATGGAGAACTTGCCTATGCCTTGGATGATGGCGTAAGTTGAGTTGTAGAAAAGCTCATTAAAGCTACTCAAGCAAGTAACCACATCTATAAATGTAGCACAGCTCCAAGAACATGACAGCTGCACCTTGATAGGAATGAAAGTGAAGAATTCCCAAATAATATCATGTTGGTTACCTTATACCATCTGCCTAGGGCTAGGGTGTTCCACTTCAAGAAAGAAAATTCAGTGAATTCCCCTTTTTGAAAAGAAATTTAGCTTGTGATGCAGATCCTGAACTGTGTCAGCCAGACTTAATCAAAATTAGTACAGTTAATCACAGGGTCGCGAGAATTCAGCCTTTAAGCTGATTTCAGCTTTTTTTGTGTAGATGCTGACCCTGAATTTCAGCTTTTTTTATACACCAGGTCTGTACAAAAGAATGGGAATTTTTTACATTTCAGCTGTTTGCTAGCTGTTTTCAGCTTTAATTTTCAGTGGCCACTCACACCCCTGTGATCAGTTTTCAGCATAAAAATTCAGCCTTTGGCAGATCTCTTGCCCACACATGTACCTGCACATGTATTCAGGTTAAAATTCTATGCAATGAAATTCATGGATATTTTTTGGGTAATCTCCACGAAATGATAAAATGTAAAAATGATTGCATCAGTTTTGTACCACTTTATTAATAAAACAGGATGACTGAAGCAGTGTGAGGGGGTATGTACATGTATTTTCTTATGGATTGTTTAGGAATGAAATGATACACTACGTGACCAGGGCAATTCCCCAGGGGATGTGAACTGCGGATTTAATTTGTTCTTCCTCAAGAATGAATGTCTTGACATTATTTGCTGGATCATTGCCCAACTGAACCATTACCCAATGTTGAACCATATGATTACGCAGGCTGATGGGTGCTGACATTTGGCAATGCCAAAATAATAGGGCACCCAGAGACATTAAGGCTGCATCCAAATCTCTTGTCTAGAGCTAGGTCTAGGTCTTCGCTCCATTGGAAATGCGTGGAGATGCATAGACAATAGACCTAGCCGTAGCTCTGGAAGCGTGTTTCGGACACGGCCTAAGTTTCTAATTCCCCATATCCTTGTTAATGTTGTATGATCAATTCTCTACCTTTAAGTGTGCGGTAGTTTGCCTAACTGCACACATGTGGACTCAAAATGGCCTTGTACTGTATTTTCAACTTCATCCAAGGGTTTGGATGGGAGCATTATTTCCTCCTGGGCTTAGGTGTCTCAGTGTACTGTTAACCTGATGACATTTAAAAGGTACAGTACATGTAATCATCTTTTTTCCGCCATTTCTAGGCCAATGTTTTTGAACCCTTGGACAGAATTTTGTGTGCGATTTGGGACATTCATGTCATGTAGACATTCATGTTATTACAAAATAATGAATCATGAATAAATTTTGATTTTTTAAAATCATTTATTTTAATGGTCAAGAGTGAAAAAAGTTTATGGGGAATTCTGCATTGCTGTAAGTTGAGCAGTTCCATTGCAGTAATTTACACTAATGCACACACTGTTATTTATTCTGACATCAGCAAAGTGGGCATTGTGGAGGTTTTAGATGTTTCTCTAGTGAATTTGCTGGTACATGTACAGGGTACTTACTGGTAACTGAATTAAACACCATTCTGGTGTGAGAATTACATTGTACATTTAGGCCTACAGTGTATACATTGACATACTTTATATGATTTATATTTGCAGTACAGTTTGAAAGAAAAAGGATTGATGGATTACATTTACATGAAACTTAAGGGACCATGAAATAGAAATATTTTACTAAATTTTTTTTAAAACAGTTGATATTGCACCTCTGGATTTCAAATGTTTGTTTTGCAATTTTAACCCATATTTTGGAGCTATTTTTTGTTTTTATGCTGATGCAGTTTGCATATTCATGAACAAAACTATGATGTCGTCCAAGGCATTGAACCTCAATGTTGTACTGATTTGTGCACAGAAAATTTCTAGATTTTTTTAAAACGCTGCTATCGTAGATTTCATTTCCTTTAGCAGCTTTTTGTTGTGTAAGTAAGTATATGGCAATAAGCAAGCAAACAACCTTTTCACCGAAGTGTTTTCAGATAGAAAATTTGGAGTTCACAATTTGAAAATGAAAACATGCAAAATAAACCATGTATTCCAGGATTTACATCAAAGCAAAAGTGCCATCACTTGTCTAGAACTGCTGGGTCAGTTTCGAATGTTTAAAAAGTTAACTTTCAGTTCACGTACACTGTGTGTAACTCCAAAAAAAAAAAAAAACACACCAAAAACCCCCCACAAACCAAGCGGTCTTCATTCATGTACATGTACATTGGAAGAAGAGTACAGAGATCTATACACTAAAAGTGATTCTAAGAAACATTTATTTCACGGGTCCTTGAACTTTTGAGATGCTGTCATTAAGGCCGTTTTCCAATACTCAACTTCCGCTCTGTCTCAGGCTTCAACAGTTTTTAACTAGCTGACGTTGAAGCTGTAAGTGCAGTTATTAGTCTAATAGTGCCACAAAACATCAAATAAGATGCAAGAGAGCCAGAAATTACAGTAATCCAATTTATTCCAAACGCTTCAGGCCCACATTTGGGACTGGTTTTGGGAACGAAGCTTGAGACGGAGCCCAAGTCGAGTATTGGAAAAGGGCCTAAGTTAAGGGTGACGTACATGACAGGGATGCTCTGAAAAATGTCTATTAGAATACATGTATTTTCAGTTCCCTGACTCTTGCTGTGTCTCACTGGTTCGTTTTCCAGTACACACATGTACATTCAAGGTCAATTTCATGCTCTGAACAAATTGCGTTGGTGTTATCTTACCCCCCTCCCCAAAAGTGTAGGTGTCCACGAGAATGACATGGGTGTGTACTCACTGAACATTTCTCTAGTCCAATGAGAATTTCAATCTGATTCAAGGTGTTTTTTTTTTCATGTGGAACTACATCCTAATTAGTTTGCCATTGTCATTTTATTTTTGTTATTATTTTATTTTGGTTAAGAGATTCATTTTTGTCAAGTGATTGAGTTTGGCTTGGGTTTCTTTTCTCTATTTTTTTTAGGAATGACATTTTTAAGCTTATATAGTTTTTATACCATGGCATGTACATGTATGTGCCCCTATTGTGAAGCAAGAAATTGAAATCTTCTCACTGGAATAGAACAAATTCCTTAATTTCACTTGTTATGTTCATTTCAAATTCCATGAACTCACAAATTCTTACTATCTCAAGAAATTGTGCATGAATGGAGAGATTCCTGATCAAGCATAGAGAAATTTCCTTCCTCTGTGGTTCAAGTGTTCACCATTGTTTTGTCTACTGGTACCTTAAATATGAGATCCCTTAATCCTGATTGGGAAAAGGTCATGCCCCCTGCCCTGTTTGACACTTGAACTGCCAAACCCTGGAATCAGCTTGGTGTGCTGTTTGACGAAAAATACGGGCCCTTATAATAAGATTTATTTTGTATGAATACATGTATATATATACACGACTTTTATTGGCAGATAATGAGAGTGTAAGAAATTGTCTAACTACTGGCAAATGGTAGTCTGTAGGTGTTTTGCTGTAAGGTGTAAGCCAGGTGTAAGAAATAACATCACTTTTAGGAATAGGCTTGGTCAAATATAGATCCAGTGGGGTACAATTTACACAGACATGGTATTTGCCTGGTATTTTTTAGGTGGGGAAGAGAGGAGCAGTTGTTAATGTGAGGGGATCCCACAAAATGAGTCTTAAGGCCCTTTTCACTTGTTCTGGTTTAGACTGCATTTAGAAGGAGCACACTCAGCCTCTTTTTTTTCAATGTACATGTATCACAGGTACATGTAACTCAGTTTTGCATCCCTGCTTAGGTCCTGTTTATTTCCTCAGTGCAAGACTCTTTCGAAGTCCTATTACTCAAAAGTGGTGCTGGTGAAGTGACTTATTTTCATAAGCTTGCATCCCATTTCACCATGGGTCTTTGGTGCAAATCTGAAACCTTGTTTTGGGCCAGCTGCTATTTTCGGTGCTGTGTATCTCATCTGACTGATGTCTTCTCTCCTCTCCCATCTCTTTCCCTGGACACAGATCAACACGGTGCCTCAGGGTGTCATCAACATGTATCAGTGTTCCACGATCTTCAATGCTGACACGCAAACAGGCCAGAAGTTCTCCCTGGGCATCCAAACAACCACTGCCACCACTTTCATCCGCGCTGAGACACGTGAAGAGAAAGACAGGTGGGTCATCCCTCCACCAAAAGAAAAAAAAAAAAAGAAGGAAGAAGGCAAATGACCATGAAGCAAATGAAATAACAAATTCAAAATTCAGTTGAGGCATTAGCCAGCTGTTCTGACCGGAACAAGGCAATGACTCAAGAGGAACGTTCTGTTCATTGCAGTTGAATTTGCCATGTTGATTTGTTAGCGTTAAGTCATCAGATTACCATAACAACATATATACTGCGGAGATAATGCTCATCCCGTTGGATGTGTTTGCTCTAATCAGAAACCGAGAGATTCATGTGATGTGTTTGCCCCCCCCAAAAAGACAAAAATAAAAAAGCACACCCTCCCAATGAGAATGCTGCTCAGTTTACAAAGTGTGGTACATGTATATCAAACGCAACTATGGGGACTTCCTGCATGCATGTTTTTGGGAAGTTGTGGTGCCAGTTGACGAGTTTCTTTAGAGGAATGGTAGTCAAAACATCTTTCTGTCATTGAGATCACTCACACCACGCACTGGCCAGCATTTGAACCTTTCATTCGTGGGCACGTGCATGCACCACAAGGTTATTTGTGGTGGGCAAAATGAAAGTGAATTCAGTTACCTGTATACGCCATGATTGCAAATTGGTTTGCCTTGCTGGTAGTAGAGAGCTTGTCAACAAACAAATCCCACGCATTCTTGCTGAGGAAAGGGGTTGGAATTTCATCTCTTTCAGAAAATGAGTATATGGCTTCCGAAAGCTGCCCTTGTCATAGGCAGCAATCATAAACAACTTCAGTCAACTGAAATCCAATATGAAACTCTCGCCTTATTACACTCAGTCCTAGCCTGGCCTGTCCAAGTTTGGGGATTCCTCTTTTCATGTTACACATGTGGCGTGTGTCGTGCTGGCTTGACAAAGCTAGGTGCAGTACCATGGTTTGTCATACCAGCTGTAAATCTTGGAGCACTTGAGAGATGGGATGTGTCTGTTGCTTATTGGGAAGGCAGGACCAGTAGTTTAATATTGATGGGGGCTGGCCTGTCCCATTGATTTGTGCATTGTGTGGACAGAGCAAGCTGACACTGACAGCCAGGGGCAGGGGATAGAGTCACATGGGGGTTGATGTCAGGGTTGAGTTGGGGTCAGGGAGGGGTCAGTACTGATGGCAAGGGACGGAGGGGAGAGGGCCTAGG